AATTTTTACACTATTACTAAAGTTCAAATAGTCTAAAAAGCAATTTTCACTACTGTGTAATTCAAGTTCAGTAGTGGCTATAGCAAAATTTCAAAAAGTGTGTCACTCCTTCATTGAACTGTGTCACAGAACCCTCTGCTATGAGCTCTCTCTAAGCAAGAATTTAATGCAACATTTGAGCATCAGTCAGCCTTTGTTCCCCATCTTGTGTCTAACTTTGTGAAGTGATCCGTGTTTTTTATCTGCCATAATTTCCCTCAACCATTGAGATGTCTGATAAAAGACCTTCCTCAAACTCAACTGCTGCCCCATTGAAATGTTCTCACCAGGAAATGATGCTGGATACTAAAATAGACATAATAAAATATAGTGAAATTTTGGGTAGGAAATGCATCTACTATTTTTTTACCTTTAAAATAATGGGAAAAGAGTTTCTGATTTATGTTTTTTCATTATATGTTACATTCTCAAAGAATGTATCCCTTTTGTAACTCGAGGGATACCTGTATTTTTTTTTCCATTACAAACACAAAGTGATATTTTATATAATGGACTTGATACTCTAGTTAAACAGTTATGGGAGTAAATTTGCATTGTTGACAGAAGGCGTCGGGAACCACAACCGAAACTCTGGGAAGAACCACCTAACAGTACTCCCTGCTTTACCTTCCACTTACGACACCGAACAATCCAGAGTGGCATTGGTTTTAAACTGTTGTGTTGTCTGTCTGGTAAACCACCACCTGAGGTAACCTTTGTTCTGTAAAATTTTGATTTTTTACTCTGTGTTTTCAATTTTACTAGAATTTATTATTATTATTAGAACAGAAACTACTGAGGCAATGGTCTTTATTACCAGAAATGTAGTTGTCTGGAAAAACGTTTAAAAGATTTATAGCATAGAATAACATAAATTTTTCATTAAGTACTTGCCATTTACTGATTTATTTAGTCATCATTTAAAGTTGTAATGGAAAAAAAGTCAATAAAAAAATTTATTCTGAAATTAAGCTTTTATTTACATAGATAGACTGTGCTGTTTCTTCACATGTGTTTTGAATCTGAAATTTTAGTTGTAACTTTCAATACGTAGGTGAAATGGTATAAGGATGGTAAAGAGCTGAGCAAAACAGAGTTCAACATGAGCCACTATGATGGAGTGGTAACTTTGGATGTGCCAGCTTGCAACGTGGAGGATGGTGGCAAATACTCTTGTGTTGCTGTCAACTGTCTTGGTGAAGATGAAACAAGCTGCTCTGTGATAGTTGAAGGTAGGGTTTAGAACTGACATATTAAAGATGCACTCAATGATGTAGGCTTGTTATAGGTAATGTAGCTGAAAAGTCTGCACTGTTTACCTTGAAATGTCACAGAATTTAAACATGATGCATCTCAATGCAAGTTATTAAATATCCAATGGTACAAGGATTAAAGTTTTTGTGTGGTATGTACTAAAAACAAATATGCATATAATCTGTCTTTTGAAACAGTAGCAATGCAATAAATAAAATATGATACACTAAATCCTCAAATTTGTAATGTAATGATTCATTAAATATTCAGACAGGTTTTGATTTCTTGAATTTAAAAATGTCTTTATATAATTATATGATATAAAAATATCCATGTCTTTTATTACCTACCATTTATATTAGTTGTCACTGAAATGTTTTGTATAATAACTGTGTAGACCGCCGTGGGCCAACACATACCTACTCTCAGGCGATTGTCTCTCCTCTAACTGGATCTTCACGGGTGGCTACATCATCCAAAGCATCAAATGCTATGGACACTTATCAGAGAGATTACAAACAGGAGTACTCTCATTCGGCTTCTACTCGAACTTCAGGTTACTCACACAGGTACTCAGCATCATCAAAGAAAACATCTGATCATTCATACTCTTCATCACGATATTCAACAGTCGACACTGGTAAGAGTTCATCTTCACAAAGCTACAGTTCCACCAGAGCAACCAAAGCATCATCCAGTGATTACACCTCAAGTACTTTAACAAGTGCAGCTTCACAACTATCATCAACTGCCTCTACTCTGTCACCTACACCAACAAAACGAACACAGAAGCCTTATGGAAAAAAGGAAGATGTAGCTACAGGTAGTCCACAGCGTTCTCGTACAGCAACCAAAGAACTAGAAAGTAAGCATAACATTTAACAAGCTTTATTACTGGTCTACACAGTTATGTCATAGAGCAACCAAAGAACTAGAAAATAAATACAGCATTTAAGCAGTGTATTGGGCAGTTTTCTTAATATTTTTATTCAGTGGCCAGGAAAATAGAAGCCATGGACAGTATTTATACAGTTTTGTTAGTAGTCTTGTTAGTGCTCTAATACAACTAAAACTCTAGATGGAATATCCATAATTTAAACACTTTTGTGTGTGGCTCAATTTGTGCTTTTCTGTAGCAATTGGAAAAGAAGCGAGTAACTAAAACATTTAAACAGTTGACTTTTAACGATTTATTACACTTGCTTTAAGGTGCAAAAAGAATAAATAGTGATCTTTTTTTTCCCTAAACATTATTGACCCTTAATGTCATGGATGTATAGCTTTAGTGATAAGACTGATACTAGTTTTTGACTGAAGAGAGACCATTTTGTGATTGGTCATACTAGCTGAACAACTGTGCTGTTTTTCACAAATTATGTATTAAGAAATATTAAGTCTTCAATTAAAATGGTAAAATTAGCAAAACAAAATGTTATGTCTAAAAATTAATTGTTACTGAATTTCTAAAGTTTAACAAAAAATATAACTTAGGATCCAAGATATTCAATGTTGGCTGATTCATATTTTTTAGGGTTTTGCTTAACTTGAGTACTGATAGAAAAGTCTGTGATGAAGCTTAAGAAAACTGTAACAGAGTAGTGTTTGATATTAAGAATTATATATGTATGTGAAAGAGGATTGTACACTTAATTTCAATAACTTTTCATTTTATTAATGTTGTAGTTCCTGAGGATAAAGAGATGACGATGCCATCTTTCAGTCACAGACTAAAAGACTTACAAATTAAAGATGGGGAACCACTGAGCCTCAGCTGTATAATATCTGGAGATCCTGAACCTCATGTTGACTGGTTCAAGAACAAAGAGGTTTGTTTGTTGATTTCTTTGTAAGTTTTTATTGAAGTATCCAAAAAGTAGAATTGGATTTGCAAAAAGAGAAAATATTTTTTTGGTTTTTTACATGACACATAATCAATTCTTTTTTTTTTCTTGAATTCATAATTCAATTTTAATTCTTCACCTTTGGTATTGTTACTCTTTTAGTTATTTAAGTGGAGAAACTAACCATATCTTTAATTCATGGTTCTGAAATTAGATTTAATTGAAAAGAAAATTAAAGTAACTTTAGCAAAGTTTTGAACCAGTATACTGTATTTATACATAAAACATTCTAAGTAACCATATATTGCATTATGTACTTTAATATGACTCTTTTCAACATAACTCATAACTTGTACTGACTCAGAATGAACAAGGATAACACTTGCAGTTATAGAAGCTTAGAAAGTGAAGAAGGTTGCTTGTTTTTTAGGACATTCGTTCATAGCTAAGCAATAGCTATCTGTACTAGTTGTCCCTAATTTTGAACTGGTAAACTATAGAGAATGCAACTAATGGACAACACTTGGTGTCAACTCTTGAGCTACTCTAATCAAATAGTGAGGCTTGACTCTCACTTTTATAAAGCATCTATGGCTCCAAAGTGCAGAACACAATTGTGTGGCTGACAACAGGTGCAAACCATGGACCCTCGGATTCACAGTCCAGCACACTTCTCATTAAGCCACAGCTGGGTGAGATGAGGAAAGTGATGATTCTATAGTTGTTTGAGTTTTTAAAAAGTGCCTTACTAGCAGTAGCTAATGAATTTATCCTTTAGCTCAACTGTTAGAGCACTTGCCTAGGTGCTCCAGAGAGCAAAGTGTAATCTTGTTCACAGGAAAGCAAAAGTTGTTTTATGTTGATAGGTTGGTTGTGTAACAGGATAGTTCAGTTAGAAAAGATAAATATCTTGATTACAAAAAAACATCTTATATCATATTATCCTCAACATATTACTAACTTTCTCAATTTCTCACAACACATAGACAATTATGTAGTCATTGTGACTGAGTCTTCCTTTTTTATAAACTCGTCAGCTGCTTTTGTCTACATCCAATACAAAACTTTGATCATAAACTGTCTTCCTGTAGCTGCTTCACTCATCAGACATCATTGACCTGAAGTACAAAGGAGGTGTGGCCACACTGACTATCAATGAGGTTTTCCCTGAGGATGAGGGAGAATATATGTGTAAAGCTACCAACCCAGTAGGTTCAGTGTCTACCAAGTGCAAACTGACAGTTTTACGTAAGAACCAATTATTTACTTGGAACACTTAAAATGCAGTATAAAAACGATCAGAAATGTACTTATTTATTTATCTTTTAAAAGTTTATGAAGCTTAAAGTTAATAAGAACAAAAAATTATTAGACATAAACTTTAAACAATCATGTGGTGTTTTAGAGGTTGTGTTCTGCTGCATTATAATAATTTCAATCACTTATCTTACAGTTGTTTAGATAAAATGCTGCTTGCAGAGGTGACTCAGCACCTGGGTGTTAAACCTGTTAAAACAGAAAGTTTAACCATAGATTTAAAGCTTTTAACCCAGCACAGTAATTATGAATGACTTTTTAAGTTTTTCTGCTGGTTAGCTCAATAGTTTGACTTTGTATAATGAATCATATGATGTTCTTGTCTGTATTTTATAGCAATGGAAGGTGGTGAAGGAGCTGAAAAGAAGACTGGCAGCAAACCTCCTCGCATCACAGAACATCTACACAGTCAAGTTGTTAAAGATGGTGATCCTATAACTTTATGCTGTACAATCAAATGTGAGTAAAGTTAGTTTAACAATATTTGTAATTTCCAATGAGAGCCTTAAATATGTGATTAATTAATAATAAAAAAGAATATGAATTAATTTCAATATAATGAGCTTATTTATGACTGGTTTAATCAAACTGTCGAGTATGATATTATGCAAAAACTAAGTAAGCATTTTTCACTTCTGATATTTTATCTCAAAGAAAAAAGAAATAAAAATGACTCTTTTACATATTTTTATGTATTTTGTATATTATTCAATACAATGGAAGAATCTATATACTGTCATATTCCTTTATTTGTTATAAAATCCTTGAGTAGACATAAACTAAATAGAAAGTTACAGCTTTGTAGATGTCTTTGAATATTTTCTTAAACATATTTTCAGTTACTAATTTATAATGGCTTTATCTTTAGGTACATCCAAATTTGATGTTGTCTGGCTTCATAATGACAAAGAGATTAAACCGAGCAAAGACTTTGAATATAAACAGGAAGGTGATTGTTATTCTTTGATCATCAATGAGATATTCCCTGAAGATTGTGGTATCTATACTTGTGAAGCTTTTAATGACGTTGGAGAAGCTTTCAGCAGTTGTACTTTAATTGTTCAAGGTAAGACGTTTATTGGTTTTCTCTATAAAAACCCTACCCCAACATTCTATATGAAATGTGTAACCTTCCTTTACATAAATTTCCTTATGCTGTTATTGAGACATTTGTTATTACTTTTTACAATAGAGCTCAAAGTGAAAAGTTATCTTTCTTCAGCATTGCTGTAATAAAAACTACTTCCTCACTTGAGAAGGTGACTTTCATGTCATTTCTTGTTTTGTTTTTCATATCATGCTTGTTTATAAAATTTATTCCCATAAACAAAGTGAGTCAGAGGCCTGTGTTTGTCTTCTCTTCTTGAAATCTTACCTTTTTATTCTAGGTGAGTCATATGTCACTTGTTACTGTTCTCTTCTTCAAATCTTACCTCACTAGTCTGGGTGAGTCATATGTCCTTTGTTACTGTTCTCTTCTTCAAATCTTACCTCACTAGTCTGGGTGAGTCATATGTCCATTGTTGTTGTTATCTTTATGAAATCTTATCTTACTGGTCTAGGTGAGTTATATGTCCTTTGTTATTGTTCTCTTCACATCTTACCTTACTAGTCTGGGTGAGTCATATGTCCATTGTTGTTGTTATCTTTATGAAATCTTATCTTACTGGTCTAGGTTAGTCATATGTCCTT